ATATTGTATTAATAATATGTTGTAACCACCCCCAAACAATGTTGTAACTGTCCCCGGTCTCCCAAAGGCTCTGTTCAATCAGACTTTTCTCTGAAAACATTTAGCAGACAGATAAAGACTCAAACAGAAGGAAGAAGAATCATTTAACTCGTTACAGTTCAAACTGATTCGATTCTGTCAGGAAGAACTGATTCATGAGTCTCTTTTCGTTTCTAACCATTAGAAACGTCAACAAGACCCAAATAAATAGACTTTTCTGACACTTTTTCTTACCAATAGTAGCCTAAGTTTACCTCATCCTTACAGGATCATGAGCTGCTCTGTCTAAATGCTGTTTCTGTTTACCTTTGTTTACATGTTTATTTTAAAGTCCCTCATTAAGAAGAAGAGAGAAGCTCACCCTCCAGTCTCGGCTCCTGAATCCACGCAGTCATCTTCTGGGAAACTTTTCTCCATCTCAGACTGTTTCAGACCGTCTGTCCGCTGGCTTCATGCTTTCACGGTCCCCAAACAACCCGATAAACCAGGACGGTTATCAACAGGAGGAGGAACAGAACCAGCCTCTGATTCTACAAACTGGAGCCGAGTTTGATCAGCGTGATGCGTTCAAAGACGGCTGGAAATCTGAGCACTCAGACACTGGACACAGTCTGAACATGATGAGTTCAGGCTGTGAAAATAAATCAAAGCGTCCAGTTTTAATGCTGTATTTAAGCACATGTTTTACATTACATCTGCATGTTAAAAGAGAAACAATGAAATAGTTTCTGAGCACAGACTTGTGGATCACAGAGACATTTAATGTCATCATMGCAAAGTATAAAATAAAATATAAAATGATTATCAGACTGTGCAGTTTGAAACTATTTACTCCAGTATGAACCATGCTGATTTGTTATTCTGCAATGCGGGTACACACTCAGAATAAACAAAACCATGTGAACACYGTCTGTATGTAAACAAATATGGTGTAATTAAGAGAAGACATTGAAGTGGAAATATTAAAGTCAATTTGCTGGAAAATATGAACTAAAAGAGATAAATTGTATATATATATATATAT